GGCATGTATGGCTATTATACATTTTAATAGAGAGCTTTTAGACTTACTAAATATTTTAAATTGTATAGGTATCCAGCATGGTGAATATGCAGTCAAGAGATTTAGTAAGCTCGACATGGAGCGAATAAGTAAATCAAAATATCACTTACTACGCAGAGTAAAAATTTCACAAAAAACAAATACGCTAAATATAAACACCAAAACAGATAAAGCTGAATAAAAAGAATGTATAACCTATAGATATGGGGAGTTTATATAGCTTTAATAGTATTTTTTCATACAGAAAGTTTCAAATTGTTTTAAAATTTGCTTAAAATTTCACATAAATTTAATACTTTTTGCAGGCTAATAATAGTATATATTAAATTTTGATATTCCATAGTTAATCTCTGCAGATAATAAATGAGAAAATGTGTTTATAGTATACTTATACTGTTTTTTGAAAAAAGGTGCTCCGAACGTGGTCGGGTACATTAAAGGAAGGTTTTAGAGGGTAGAATTACAACTTGTTCTGCATGCTGAAGGCCACGTTACTAAATTCATTTTCTCGATGATAGTCTTCTGAGGCGCTGCGTTATTCTCGCCATTAGCTTTGTCACGGCTACATTAGGTTGGAAAGAACGCGTGCGTTATTTTGCTTGTGTAGCCGTTATACTTTTAATTTAATCAACTGAAATTCATTATCGTTGATTTAAGTCATAAATGCTGGCTTCTGTAAGCACAAGTGGTGTCTTATATTAACTGTTATTTGAGTTAAATAAAAGAGTACTTTACGTCTTTTTTAGTCTCTGTGGTACTTTGCAAGATATGATAATAATTCATTTGAAGTCTTAAGACGTTTCGTACATCTTAAGTTCCCAAATGCATTGTTGTGATAGATTAAGATATGTTAATTCTTAAACTGCACTTGTTCAACTGAAAGGTTTTATAATAATTTTTATGTTATATGCATTTTTCATATAGATGGAATAGGTTAATTCTTGATTTAAAAAAAATAATAACATATTTTAAGAAAGGCATGGGACTTAATCGTGTGTTCTAATAGAACTTTCATGAACACAATGTATTTTGAATATGAAAAGAAAATATATCAAAGAAAACTATAGACAAATTAGTCAAGCAAATGAGTTTAAACAATTTTTTTTCCCTCTAATCGTACATAATATGTTCATATTCCTTCTTGAATAAATCTGCGGATTGATGATTAATGACGAAATAACTACTGAACTTATTTATGCATAATGATGATACATAATCTGTACAAACATTTTCAAAATTGTTATTTTACTTTTCGTCTGAGACTATAGTTTCTTTCCTCCGCCCATCATAATTTTGTAAACTCACTGAGAGTAGGTTAGATAAATCTTTTAAATGTCTAGACTTCAAGTTTCAAGGGGAAAAACTTAGGCTATCATTAATATCCTCTTCTCCAAACCTTTCAACATAAGCGAACAAAGTATAAACTTTCTTTAACGATCTAAAAGAGTTTATGCAAAGTCAGTGACTTCTTGCAGTAAGATGATTAATATTAGCATATCGGTTTACAGACCATATTATACACGTGTGTATATTGTTGCTTTTTATTTTAAGAGTCTTCTAAGTTTTTGGAAGAAAGACATTTTTAATAATAAATGGCAATTAATGTGTGATTGACTCATTTTCCTGCAGGAAATTGAAACGTATTCCCTGTTCCCAAGTTTTTCTTTTCCTTGTAAAGTCTAGCATGGAATTACCTTGTTTTAATCCTTCTTTTTTGTTCTTTAATCTTTCTTTCAACACGCTTATGAAGAAACTGCAAATGATTGCAGAAACAGTCAAAGCTCCCCTTTCCAAACAAGAATCATTCAATAACTGAAATTCCCCCTTTCCGTACTTAAGAAGCATCCTTATATTGTGACGTAGATAAACAGTCAAGAAATAAGCATATAACACAGCGGTTACCATTTTTTTTTTCCTCTCAAGTATCCCTTAATAAGACTATGCATTCTAAAATACCCCTAATCTCACCTTTCAGAACTAAACCTTTTTCCTTACACTATTCTTACGATATATCTTACTACTGTATTCTTTAATACCATAAGATAAATAGACTGCAATGAATAAGGTCAGAAAAATATAATGAAAGGCAGATTTATTTTTAGATTACTTATGGCAAATAAACACAATGCTAATTCATATTTTAAACCTCAACGTACCTTTATTAACATACCATGACTATTTTGAATATCAGATTTTCTAAAACGGAAATGAAAGAATAGGTGACTGGTGTACATTTTGAGTATTCATGAGATCTCGGCCTGTATTAAAACCCCAAATATTCGTGAAATAGTAGTGAAACACAGTAAATTATAAAATGTGTCGTTATTTTAAAGTGAATTAATATACAACCTCGTTCATTCTAAATTTTAAAACAAAATTAGACATGATCTGCAAAGATTCAGTACATTGGTACAAGAAAAAAAAGACTATTTTTTATTCTCAGTCAATCTCGATTCCTGTCCTAGTTTCATGAAGAAACTAGGACAGGAATCTTCAAGGATTGGATTGGATTATTCAATTACGGCAAAGCACACGACGGCTATCTGCCTAAAGGGAGGAATGCCTTCGTGGAGAATGACTTTCTAAGGAAAACTGACTCGTACACACGTTACACATGGGGAAAACCACGAAAACGCCCATGCAACCAGCCCGTTCGCGAGATTCGAACCTCGAATCGAATTACCAGCGTTCAGTACCGCTCGGCCGCTGGTGGGCCGGGAATCTTCAAGAAACTGCATTACTTGAGAAGAGAATGCTATTAATTTTTTTTATATGTTCTTCTACATACCATCAACAGCATCAAATTTTCAGCCATTGCATGGTTTTTACTACTTAAGCGATAGGATAACTTATTCTGTTGGATGCTTCGATTCACATTTTCACCATCAGCATTAACTATAGATTAGGTTCTACATTAGGATTTTTATGCAGTTTTATATTTTAATTACACCATTTTATACCAATTATTAGATTTTATTAATTTTTGTTTGCAATCGCGATTGAGGATTTCGAATTAGTGCAACAGTAACGAATGTTTTATAGTTTGAATGTATAAAACTTCCCTACGTATTGCCCAAATAGTATTGGGGTTGCAATCTCTTGTTAATGAAATTTCATATTAGCTCTCATCAAAATATGTATTCTTTACTTCACAGAAGGACTGATATTTGGAATTTTCATACTACTAGTCAGACCCCAAACCAGAGCTATTATCCATGAGAATTTTAGTTCTGTGCGAAAAGTTACGTCTTATCTACTTATCTCTTTTATTGTTAATCAACTTTACATTTAAGAGCTCTAAAAGGACAAAAATTAATGTAAAACAAAACTCCACGCTCAAACAAATTTGATTGCCATATAACTGTAAGGAAAGAAACAAATCTGATGATTCATTCAATGCTGACAATATTATTGACTGCTATTCGTTTTAAAGGACTCGCTGTGACAAACTAAGCAAGATGGAGGCTACGATGAGTAATACAAATGGTGTGGACAGGGCTAATGACAGCTAGTTGCATGCTTTAGAACCCATTTTGGTGGTTGGGATTACTGATCAAAATCGAATTGGACTGGAACTACTTTCCCTTTTCTTCAACATAAAATTTTTAGTTTTCTGCTGTTTACATCCTTGTGGAGAGTAAAGAAAGTATTATAATTACGAAGCATTTCAGGTATAATATTTCAACAGAAGTATCCATTTTAATCATTCACACATCAATCTGAACGAAATTTTGGGGTGAAGTTTGTACGGATAGAATAAAGGAAACTTTTTCCCTCCAAAACGCGTTAAAAATGCATTTGAAATAGATTTGTAACATATTGTTTCGTGACATCTATATGTATGTACATATATATGAAGTATATATCTTACATAATTCAAAACGGTGAACCGTAAAACGTTGAAACATTGAGTGCTATGACATCTAGTTGTTCACATCCCTTTTTTATTGCATTCGACAGAACCAAAAGTATATATACGAGTACTATATCCACCCTATTACTCGGCTTAAATGTCTTAACCCGGCCTGAATATTTTCGCAAGCCTATGCTTCCAAGAACATAAGTGTTTTAAACGACGAATATATGTTTACGTTTTTACAACGTCAAGTTTAAAAAAAATAATCTCAACAAATAACGAAATCTCGGTTTTAATCTTTAACAAAATCTGAGTGTTTCTCAGTTTAATCTCCCGGTTCCTTTACTTGTATTTTGTTCCTACATATGTTATACGGATAAGGTTTGTACTCGTTACGAAAAAATAAAATTATAAAATGTTTGATACTCATACAGCAAGAATTGACAGGGATATTTAATTTCAAAATTTGCAGGGTTTTTTTATAATTTTTAACTTGCCTTGTAACATTGCTGATTAAAGTTAGAATAATTCGAAGAAATAAGTATAAATGAAGTGCAGCAAAAATGTGTCTAATTGGTAATCCTTTTTGTACAGAATTTGTTTCCCTAGATATTTCTATTTGAATAAAAGTTTGAATATGATAATAGGATTCTAATAAAAGTTTGAATTAAATTCTAAAAACCTTTATCAGGATTTTTTATAGTAATTAAATGCACTGTACGTAGCAAAGCATACTGGAGTTATTTGCTTGTGAAGTGGGATACTTTCTGAAAGCAGTTTTAAAGGAGACTGGCTCATTATCACGAAACACCATGCAGCTACTCCGATTAACAGTTGTGCATAGAATTCGGACAAAACACGCTTCACAGCGTTCGTCCTCTGGTCGATCATTAACATCGAGATAGGTACAGATAGTTTTTCAATAATGTTTACAAATGTAGTAAGGTAAAGTAGCATGTTACAGTTTATGTTACTGGCCACGAGAGGGCGCGGCCTTTTTATTTTTATGCTCGTTATATTTTTTTATCGCATTGCGGATTTTGATAAAATGTAGTGGCAACAAGAGTAAAATGATGAACGTTCTACTGTAGACATTTTTGTTGTAAAAATTTGTAAATAAAGTTCTGTGTGTAAAACCCAAAATTGCAAAGAATTCCAAGTTTCCTGTAAAATCATCAAGAAAGGTAAGCAAAAGATCATTTATCAAATGTTAAATGTTAGAAATAAGAACAAGAAAAAAAGTACAATAATTTCATAATGGTACCGAAACCCGGGATCTTAAACACTAGTTATCTTAAAAACTAAATGTTTTTAATTTAGCAGTTTCTCAGAAAATATAGATCTTTTTATTGATATTGTTCCTTTAAGTTATTACCGCTTTATTGTTCTTACAATACTGTTGAGATATTTGGGAAATGAAAATAAAATCTTCAGAAGAGTAAGCTGTGAATTCAAGATAATTTTCATTTAGAATTCTTGTATTTTGAATATTATTACAGTTTCGTAATCGAAAATAGGCACTGAGTAGATGCACGCCCCATTATTGCTAACTTGAAAAGAAATGAAGAAAAAAGAACTCAAGCATATCATCATCTTTATGTAACTAAATCAAAGAGAGATAAAATGAAATATTGAAATTAAATAGACTAACGTTACTGCTGAGATTGTCAGTATTAACGTTATATGAAGAAAAGAGCATCGATGGTAAACGTATTTCTAGCGTATACGTCTTATGTTATGAAAATAATCATCTCAATAGAAGTCCTGGAAAAGAACTGGGTAAGTTTTCCAAACCGAACGACTTACGCATGCCAACGTACCTGTATAGTTCTCGTAAACTATCACATTCCCTTCTTTGCCGCACTTCAAGCGAAATGACATCCGCTAGCCTTTTCCTGACGAGTTATTACCTTCACATTGTGAGGAAAATCGATATTTATAAGGTAAGGAAAAAGGGAATGCTTTTCTTTATCGCCGACTGTCGTAAAGTCTGAAGAAGATTTTTCTCCAGGCAATGGAAAGATTCATTTTGTATGGTGGAGATTCGAATGTATTTTATCAATGTATTTAAAAGTTATTTTATCCAACTAGAACCAAGCTCAATCGCATTCTTGTTTGTATGCCATAACTGTGAATTTATGTTGCCTTATATGTTGTCTCCCTATCCAAGACAATCAGATAACTAAGTTAAGAAATTTATGTTATATTTAAGACATGGTATATATGTTTTATTATATATATATATATATATATATATGAATACATGAATTATTACTCACTGTCACACTACAACTCAGTTTTGCTGTTACACACCAAATAAAAATCAAAAATTTTTGTAAGATTTAGCTATCTCTCTAACTCAAATTCCTAATTTTTCAAACCAGTTCCTGAGAAGTTACAGGAAGGTTTTCGCTTGTAAACTCAAAGTAAATAAATCAACGATTCAGAGTTGCAATAAATAACAACAGGCATTTTAAATTCCATCTTTTCGGTTATAAAATAAAAACTTCGGTTATAAAATAAAAACTAACTACATTTAGGTGTTTACCGCTATTTGAAATATTTATTTAGAAGAAAAATTTTAAACTAAACATTTTACACACTTTTCGATTTAAAAAAAGTCAATGGCTCAATCAAGAAGCTAATTAAAGCGTTACTATTGACATAATTGTCACTACTGCATCTTCTCATCATCAACTAAAGGAACGTACCCCATGTTCATGATGTGAGTGTGAAGCACGAATAAAGCTTGCTTGGTAGCTGTGTATTTAGTTTATTTTTTTTTGTATAAATAAAAAAGCTTTAATATCGTACATTCAAATTTGTGTCATTTGAGCAAGCTGGCGAAGCAAACAATAGAAACAAAGTAGAGAGTAACAAAAACAAGTTAACATAAATCTTAGTCTTAAACAAAACAAGTTAAAAACTTAAAAGTATTCAATATGTTTCCGTTTTCCTTTTTATTTTTTTTTTTATTATAACTTTCGTTAAGTTTCGGAATACATTTCTCGCAACATCCTGGTTTGACAGCTTTATCTTTGTTGATAAATCCGAGAATTTTCTGCATTAATGTAAGAAATGTGATAAAACAAAGTCTCATACAGATAGTTTATGTTGAAAGTAAGTAAAGCCATTGAAGATACGGAAACAAAGTAGCACATGAGGATTTCCAAATTCTTCGAACAGACATTCTTTGAACATATGAGACAAAGCACAAAGCCAGGATACGTTTTTGAAAATAACATCTCTCTGTGATACGTCTAATTTTCCATAATTTCCTTACTAAAATAACAACGGTAATTTCCTTTGATATTTTTTAAAATTTAAATGAATTTCATTGACTTATGCATCCGGCTCCCCAAGCTTTACAGGACTCTCGAAATGACGTGTTACTTATCTGAAAGTAACCTCCTGCAATACAAAAAATAAAGTTCGGTTATGAACGCTTGTTGTTTCAAAATTTAAGGCATTATGACTCATTTGTGTGCACCACAATTTCTATAATCATGGCATTTATGCTCCGTTAACTAAAACCAAATTTCACCGTAAAGATATTATTACAGCCGGTGTAAGAAATATCCATATTCACATTTGTCGTGTCCCATATTCAAATTGAATTTTTGTGGCAAAGTCCAAAGAAGCAAGACGAATCCCGCGAATGAGCTGTCTGCATGAGTGGTTTACCCCATGTATAACTTGTGCATGAACTAGTTCCTCTTAGAAAGTCCACAACGAAGGTATCCCTCTCTTTAGGCAGATAGCTCTCGAGTGATTTTCCATAATCAAATAAACCAAAATCAAAACAAATAAGCGAGCATTTTATCCGCGGACTATTGATGTATCCATTAAATTCTCATTAAATCACTTACACTAATAAAGAGAGGAATAATCTTATTCTACATTTTCTATTTCAGTTTGATTTTTCCTAAACCCACTGCTTTGTATAATCATCATATTAATTTACTAGCAAAGTCTTTTCTCAATTCAGCCTTATCAGCTCTAGTATCCTTATTTATTACAGATACTTTACGGTGGCAAACATTAATCAAGTGCAATACATTTAAATATTAAAATAATCTTAATTTCTTTACCCTAGATAAAACGCTTAATAACAAAACAAAAAATATTAAACATAAGCAATATTACGATGTTCTGTAGGCAGATGTTTCAGTAAAATAATCGTATATGAGTGCTAAGAAAGAATACTTTATTGCTCAACAAAAACTCTTCAAAATAATGTCACATGACTCAGTAACCAAGAGATATAACACTGAAAATAAAGAAAACAGTTTTATCAAATTAAGTTAATTTCGAAATTGCAATAAAACTGGGTATCATAGTAAATAAAACATATGCAAGTCTCTGACAAATCAGACTGGGTCGAATTTAAACTGGGTCGAATTAAGTAATAAACAGCGAGTGTTATTCCACTCAACGTTTATTGCCGAACACCAAAGACGAACTGATACATATACATAATTATGACATCACAGTTTCTTTTTACAAATAAACACTACTGCCATCTATTGGCGATCGGAGGATACATAGTCATAAACTTATATTTAACACATAGAATAATGCCAATCTAATCCCAAATTCATTTGATTAAGCTTCAAGGGAGAAAACTTCTCAAAAGAAAATATTTCATCATTAAAACACATTATTACTCTAGAAATTCTCAATATTTATATTAAATTTAAATGAATTTCAGTATCCATGTTCTTTATAGCAATTACTGAGACAAAACAATTTTCTTGAAAGACGCGTTGAAACATTATTGAATCCGTGGCATAATTATATTTAATGTATAAATTCCAACATATCGCTTTGGAAGTAGCGACGTGCATACAACCGTACATAGGGTGAACAAAAACTTCTGTGTGAAATTTGCTTCCTTCTAGAGGCAATGCAGGTAGTCAGTCACTCTGCCGTGAAGTTATCGTGGGCTTGTAACAGAGTTCTAAGCCCATAAAAGGAATACCTTCTCTAGTTACACACAATAGCCTTCTCTAAGTACTACTATCTGGATTACATTCCTGTATTAGAACAGAATACGTCCCATCCAGATTTATGTGCGAATTATCTGTGATGGATATGTTGAATACAGGTATAACGTTAGCGTCTTTAAAGCTTATCCTTCGATAGTTGCAGCATACAGACCGGCATTATCATTTCACAAAATAAAATTGGATATGCACCATAGGAAGGGCAGAGAATGCTTTTGTTAGAGACATAGAAAAACCGGCTAGTATCTTCGTTATATGTGGAGAAAACCACTAGGATACACATTAACAATGAAAGTTATATATATATATGTGTGTGTGTGTGTAATTATGTACACATGAGCATACTTTACAGCAGTGTAAAAGGTATATTTGTATAAACATGCATATTGTATTATTTGTATAATTTCGTAACGTTTTCAGCTGCTTGCTTGCACTAATTAACTACCATGCAAAATCTTTTAAACATACAAAGTTGATCCAAACTATCCATCAGTCCTAATAGGAGCTTGGAAGTTAGCATATATATTTCGAAAAATAACTGTATGTACGGAGAAAATGAAGGCCTCGTTTTCTAAAACAAACTATAAAATGGATTTAAAATAGATTCAAAACAAATTTTTTCGTGGCGTCTGTACCTATATACTTACGTATATATCTAGCATAACTCCAAAACGATTAGCTGTAAAACATTGAAATTTTGTATATGGGACTGCTATAACATCTAGTTGTGCACCTCCCTTCTTTGTTGCAATTGGCAGTAGCAAAAGTATATATATATATGAAACCAAAAATATTAAAGAATTTCAAAATTTATTTAAAAAGGATTTAACTCCTTGAAGGTCGGTGGTTACCTACAGTACCCATTTTTTCTACTGAACGTCTTGCTCACTCGTGCGAGTGGTTTTCAAGGCTGACGGTTTCTGAAGTTCCCTTGTAACTCACACGATGGCAATCAAGAAACATAAGCCAGTTGTTGATGCAGGAATTCGTCTTCATGCAAAGTTCACTCTGCTTGAAAACGAAAAACTGCTTCCATGAGTACTATAGAGACTGATTTGTAAGAATGTGTTCTGTGGGCGCTGGTCACTGACACTAACCATTTTTTTTTTCACGCGTCTTGGACAAAATATGTGTAATTGTCTCAAATAATTTCATTGTAACACCTGATATACTAACTA